CACCGTCAGCCCTGTGAGTACCAGGGGACTCTGGCTGTCTGTGGGGCTGCTCTGGGACGCGCTGACACCAATCGATCTGCTGGCCAACCCCGATGTTCTCCGCTTCTGACTGTTACATTTTTGTGACAAATTGATAAACTGCATCTTCTCCCCGCTAAAGATTTGATCTCGCGCTCATGATCCGCTATCGATAAGCTATTAATCCTGCCCCCGGCCCAGCCTGCTCCCTCTGCCGCAATCCAATAATCATTGCCGGATTCACCGCCGCGCAGGGCGCTCCCTTCAGCCAATTCATTTCTAGGGAGGCTCATTTATTTTCCCTGGAGGCCTCTCCTCCTTCCCACCTCCCTCCACTTGCTGCTCCGCGCAGCCTCCGCTCCCCTTGCTGCTGCCGCTGCGTGGGGCCGACCGGCCACCCTTTCCCTGGGCCAGACGCTGCCCTGCTCTGATGTCCCAAACCTCAGCTGAGCTCCCCGAGGACGCCCCCACCCCTTTTCCAAACCCATTTGTGCCGATCTCTGCAGCAGGGTGAGCCATGCCTGGATCTTTGTCCTCATTAGGCTCGTAGCCCCGCGGCCAATGCGCCGGGAGGGACTTCAATCTCGCGGTCCCTCCAGCCCCACCTCTCCGTCACTCTCTGAGCCTGGAATCTGACCAGCCTTTTCCAGCTCTTGGGTCTCCTGTCACACTGCCGGACTGGCGTGCGTGCGGCGCCGAGAGAGCAAACGCTGCGCTTCCGGCGTCGAGCAGAGCTTCTCCCAAGCAGATCTCTTACCCAACCCCTGCCGGCCATGCCAGCTCGTCTTCAAACACAACGAGCGGGCCTGTGGCACCGGGGAGACTCAAACACAGACAGGCACTGTCCTGAGCTTTCGTGGGCACAGCCCCCTTCCTTAAACGACCATCTTCTCCCTCCCCACCTGCACGTTAACACCCGGCAAGCATCGGGGTGGAGGACTGAAATCAAACTCACCTTTCACCAGTGACACTGTTTGTTTCCTTTTTGCACTTCCCTAGACTTGAAACAACGTAACTCAGTTTCACTTTCTGTTTATGGTCACTTTCACTTCCTGAAATCAGGGCTGTGCATGGCAGGCGGGCCTGCTAGTCTCTTTAATTGCTGCCCCGACAACACCACAAGGATCATTCTACCCACAGTTAGCCTCTCCCCTCCTGCGATTAGCAGACAATCCCTCACAACCCTTTGTCATCAGAAATGATCTGCTGGAAAAGATTTGGCACTCATCCAAATTGTGTTGATTAGCTTGCACTGGGGTCAGAGGTCATCTACTCTCATCCCCTCCCGTTTGGATGCACATCCCTTTTCAGGTTAGGTCTGTGGTGAAAATACGCACGTGAAAAACAATTCACTTTCCCTGAGCGTTCACTAACTTTCACTCTCACTGGTTCCACAAATACTCCTGCCAACAGCATCCGGTCAGCAGCGGAATCCCTCGGCCGCGGAGCCCAAAGAAACTAATCTTGCTTTGAGGGGAAGGTGCAGGCGTGGAAAGAGTTCGGCTGCTTTCCGATGCTCCCGCGTTGTCACATCCATCTGGTCTCAATCCTGCAAGTTCCTGAGCCGTGTGGGCCCGATCCAGCACAGCACGCAGGCACACGAGCCGCTTCCTGAGCCTCGCGTGCACCAGGGCAGGCCCCAAAGCCCAGCCCCTGGCACAGCCCAGCTCACCACATCGCCTCATTCGAAAGCTTTGCAAAAAGAACCGGGTTGTCGGTGAGTTACCCTTCAGTTTCGCAGCCAGTGTGACCTCCATGGAGAAAGCGGGGGATGTCCAAGCCCGGCTGAGCAGGAGCGGCGTGGCTGCGTTCACAGGCGGACCCGATTCTGAGCTCAGAGAGCCCTGGAAATCCAGGGCCACTCCCCAGAAGGTGATGGAGGATTTGCATTACAGCAGCACATGCAGGTCCTAGCTGTGACCAGGGCCCCTGTGCTAGGCACTTGCAGTAAGTGTCCCACAGGACTCACAGACAGAGGCTGCGGGGGGGTAAACTGAGGCACAAAGACTTGTCCCTGCCAGAGCAGAAGTAGGACGAGGACACAGGTAGCGCAGAGCCCGGCCCTTCTCCGGAGCCGGGTCGATTTGCATGGAGAGCAGGCTTTGGCCGAGCTGCAGGGGGGCGTAGCTGGGATGAGGAAACCACCAGAGATGCCCTGCAAGAGCCACGGACGCGTCTCAGCTGCAACCACCCCGGGAGCAGGGGCGTGAGCCTGCCCCTTGCGCCCCTGCGGAACGCCCTCCCTAGAGGCCACCTTCCCCAGCAGCCATGGAGGGACTCTGGGGAGGTGCTGCTGGGGGGGAGCTTGCTGGGCATCCCCATACCGGCCGGCACACTCTCCCTGCCCCTCGCCCAGCACTGGTGCCCTCACCGGGCCTCCCCTGGCCTCTGGGGGCTCCCTGCTGATGGCCTTGCACAGGAAGAAAGGGCCGGACGTGGAGCAGGGAGATCTACAGGGGACCAATGGGACCGACTGTCCCCCCGCCCCGCCCTGCTCAGATAATCGGCCTTTGACCCTCGCCCTGGCCTGAGGGCCTGTGGAGACCACAGAACCTGCCCTGCCCCCAGCTGCAGGACCCGGCTGGGGGGGGTCCCGGGCGGGGGGGGCTGAGAGGCTGCGAAGCCCCACCCCGCCGCATGAGCCGCCCGTTGGCGGGGACCGAGTGCCACGCAGCGGGTGTGGGGGCGCTCTGGGGTGCTGCACAAGGCCCCCAGGGCAGGGTGTGACGCGCCAGGGCTCTGGGGTGCTGCCCAAAGCCCCCAGGGCAGAGTGTGACACGCCAGGGCTCTGGGGTGCTGCCCAAAGCCCCCAGGGCAGAGTGTGACACGCCAGGGCTCTGGGGTGCTGCCCAAAGCCCCCAGGGCAGAGTGTGACACGCCAGGGCTCTGGGGTGCTGCCCAAAGCCCCCAGGGCAGAGTGTGACACGCCAGGGCTCTGGGGTGCTGCCCAAAGCCCCCAGGGCAGAGTGTGACACGCCAGGGCTCTGGGGTGCTGCCCAAAGCCCCCAGGGCAGAGTGTGACACGCCAGGGCTCTGGGGTGCTGCCCAAAGCCCCCAGGGCAGAGTGTGACACGCCAGGGCTCTGGGGTGCTGCCCAAAGCCCCCAGGGCAGAGTGTGACACGCCAGGGCTCTGGGGTGCTGCCCAAAGCCCCCAGGGCAGAGTGTGACACGCCAGGGCTCTGGGGTGCTGCCCAAAGCCCCCAGGGCAGAGTGTGACACGCCAGGACTCTCGGGTGCCGCCCAAGGCCCCCAGGGCAGGGTGTGACACGCCAGGGCGCCAGGGCTGGCAACTGCTTCCCAGCGGGAGGTGGGTGGGGAGTGGCGCAAAGCCCTGGCAGTGGGGAGAGGTCTGAGCTGTTCCCACCGTCTCCCAGCAGGAGGCGCCCTCGGGAGGCGCGTCGGCAGAGGGAGAGCCGGCGGGCGGCCCCCTCCCAGCGCCCGCACACTCCCCACCCTTTGAAACCTGAGCTGGGTGATGGATCTTCCCGCTGGGTGCCTCCCTGCCCCGGCGGGCTCCGGGCCGGCCGGCCCTGTCTGGAGGCTCTGGGAGGGAGAGGGTCTGGCGTTGCAGAGCGTTATTGTTACCCGGGGAAGGAATTTTTGGTCCTATAAATCAGAGGCGGGGAGCGGTAAGGCCAGCATACTTGGAGTGTGTGAACAAACTTCATTTCCTGGGAGACTGGCCTTCAATCACCCGCCGTCACGCCTCACTGATCAGAGGTGGACATGAGAGGAGTTCATTAAGGTGGAAGAAAAATAATGGCCTGGGTACTCCCCAAAGCAGGCCCTGCTCCCGACCCCTAGATGGCTGGACCCCTGGCCAGTGCCCCAAGACGCTGCGACACACACCCGGGATCAGGGCCCTTCCCAGAGCGGCCCCCCTTGAAACGCTGCTCAGCGGAACACAGACCTTCTGCAGGGTTAGCGACCGGGGCCCTTGCCTTGGAGATCGCGGCTACAGGATCGAACCCCCGGCCCAGGGCAGCTCAAAACGAAGCGGCCGCGTTACAAGAACCTCAGAGCCTCCGAGTCGCTTCCAAAGGGCCGGAGCCGGGGTCTGGTTTCTCACTCCGTTTCGGTCCCTCTTTCCAGCTCTCCCCTTTCTCTTGCCTTTTCCTCCTCAGCTCTGTCCTCCCCCTTGGAAAATCTGTCTCTCAACTTTTGAAAGGAGCTGGGGGGATGGAAAAAAGAGGAAATAAGAACAAAAAAGGAGGAAATAAACATGAAAAACTAAAAATGCAGAGAAAAGTTGAGAAAAATTCATGAAAAAATTCAACAACAGAGATGTTGGGGCTAACGGGGGCCTTTTTTATAGGCCACTGTCCAAGACAGCCTTTTCCCTTGGAACAGCTCAGCCAGCTCTGCTCTGTCACCCAGTGCCGCCCTGGCTCACCGTGTCCCGAGAACCCCCATTCCCCACTCTCGGGGCAGGGACTGGAGGGGTCGGGGGCTCAGGGTAGGAGCTGGAGGGGTGGGACTCAGGGCAGGGGGTGCAGGGCTCAGAGCAGGGGGTGGAAGATGGGGGTTCAGGGCAGGAGCTGGAGGGGTGGGGCTCAGGGCAGGAGCTGGAGGGGTGGGGCTCAGGGCAGGGGGGGGAGGGGTCAGAAGAGGGG